AACAACAACAACAACAACAACAACAACAACAACAACAACAACAACAACAACAACAATGATAACAGAGAAAAATAAGTTTACTAATGAAGATGATGATGGTGATGATCTTGATAATGATGATGATGATAATAAGAAGAAGATGAAGAATAGCTACAAAAATAATTGTGTTATTAATCGTTCCAATCTTGCTCGTACCGAGATGATTCTGATCAAACATTTTTCCCGTCTTCCTAAAATTCTTTGTCGATTAGCAGACGCGTGAGTGCGTACCTGTATCTCTCGCCTGTGATGTTCTATGGACAGGTACTGCCACGCGCCGTTGTTCAGCGGCGTGGACGAGGCAGCGATGAACTCAAATGGTCTGAGCACTCCTCTGTATTGGAACATCAGCCGGTTGCCTGGAGATTAATGTAGCATGCCAGACATGGGTGTCATAGATAGTAACACTGCATCGGCCTGACGCATCCCTTCGTCAAACTAACCGCACTTCATTAATTTAACGGTTAGTTCAATAAAACTTAATTATTTGTAATTAAAACACACACACCCGGCGAACACATGCGCGCACACGCACGCACGCGCACACACACAAACGCACACACACACACGCGCACACGCGCGCACGTACGCACGCACGCACACACACACGCACACGCACGCACACACGCACGCGCGCACGCGCGCGCACGCACGCACACACACACACACACATACCGTTGATGAGTACGACTGTGAGGTAGTGCGACTCTGAGGTTAGACTGTCCCCGGCGGGCGGGAGCGGCGCCTGGTACATGATCACACCGCTGCTATTCGCAGTGCGGAAATAGAAGCTCAGCTGGGGGCCGGTCCACGTGGGCGCCACCAGCGTCGCGTCACTCGTCGTTACCGTGACAACGTCGTTATCGTCCACGTTCCCTGGTGGCAGACGAATTGTTATTTATTACGCCTTCATCGTAAGTTACGGCACTTTTTACACGTGGCGTTAGAAGGTAAAAAAACAGCACGTCGTTATTTGCTCCCTGCGTCTTGTCAACTACAGACATGTAATAAATTTTGCTATCATACGATCACAAATGCGTTGCTATGGCGACAGATGATTGTTTCAGCGTCTGTGTTGCCATGGTAACAGATGTATTTATCTCAGTCATCTAAGTCGCTATAAGAATAGCCGTTGTTTTACTAAGTCATCCGCGTCGCTATGGTAACAGACAGTCTCACACTCAATCATTGCCATGGCTATGATTCGTATCAGATTCGTATCAGATCGTATCAAACTCAATCGTCCGCGTCGCCATGGCAACAGAAGGCTTCGTACTCAATCCTTCGCAGAGCAGCGGTCCTAGCGACAGATCGGCGCTGGCGTCTGCCGCAGCATCTCTGTGTTGCACAAAGGTGGCTTCAACTAGCGGCAGGTTGGCGGGGTCCGTCTGATTGCCTTCATCCGCTGTCATCACGTCATCGTTCTTATCGCAGTTGCAGCTACACACGAGAAATTTATAACAAATAACACTGTGTTCGTTTCAAGAGAAACAAACCGCATGCGAACGCTGTTGCAATGTGTATGTCGTGGGCTGTGGAAGTTCTCACAAATCGAAGTGCCAGCGTCCGACGCGACGCATCTTCGGCCCAGCCCACCCGCTTCTCCCTACGCCTCGGCCTACTATATCCACTTAGCCTGTAACCCGAGCCGCTGCCAACCAGCCCATCGCCCCCGCGCCGCCGAGAGCCCATGAGCCACGGCTCTGATGTAAATGACAACATGCCATAATATCGACCTTGGACGCCCTACGATTTCGCCCGACGGAAACTGTAGCTTATTACAGGTCAAGCAAGCACTTTCCGAGCCTCGAGAGAATATAATGAGGCCACGAGTTACTCATGAATGATAGACTTCGTATTAAATACCCCGCCGTTATTTGCATCAATTAGACATTAGATAATAACGACATGCAAAGAAGCTTGGGCCGTTTTAGTATTAAATAGAGATTCCGATTTTATTAAGTGACGCGGTATTTAGTCCGTTATAATGGGAATTTAATGTAATACGACGAAGAACCCCCACCGTCTTTCACCCGAATAATGAATACCCGTTATAAATCCGAACCTTAACTTATAGCCGGCCGTTATGAATTACCAGTTAATTTACTAGGCCGTTAATTAAATTGAGAAACGGGCGCTCACGGTTACCGCTTTTGTATATGATCTCAGAACAGAGCGTTTCATCTCCCTTCTCCCATTCCCGCAGCAATCACCCACATTATAATAGCATATACTACCAAGTCGGCCTGACACTTTACTTAAGCGTTGACCTCACCGCACCACCAGGCGAGTTACACGGTGTTCATAGCTACGTCCACCAATCTAACTACTACTTATCACTATATATATTATACCTTCTGATCCAGACTGTATAGCTCCGAGGATGACGATCTGACTAGGTTGAATGTCATCTGTGTCTCCGGTGAGCTTCGCGTCGTGTGTTCCGTCCACACGCATCGTTCCAACCCTGCACAACACCCCGCCGGGCAGCAGCGCGGTAGCCGCGTAGGCAAGAGTGATGCTAGCAACGGATGGAAACCTATTGCGAATAATTTCACATCGGCATGCCCATAGTTCACGTCGTGTAAAGTGAATCTATAGACTTGATTATGGATCTAACTGAGATAAACTTTATTTTTATGCAAAGGGTAAACTCTTAATTAATATAAATATAATATATAGAATAATCTAGAATAATATAGAAGTAGCGTATAGAAATAATAATATAATCGTTTACCCTTTTTGCTATCACATAGCACTGTATAAACTTTGTTTTAAGTCTCTTCAGTTGTTACCTCGTACATAACGAATTTCAAAACATAATCAATAAAGTTGAATGTCGATGGTTTTTCCGTGTTGGTGGTGTTGGTGGTGGTGGTGGTGTTGGTGTGGTGGTGGGTGTTGGGTGGGGTGTTGGGTGTGGTGGTGGTGTTGGTGGTGGTGGTTGGGTGGATGGTGGACGTGGTGTTGTGGTGGTGGTTGGTGGGTGGTGGTGGTTTGGTGGGTGGTGTTGGTGGTGGTGTTGGTGGTGGTGGGGTGTTGGTGGGGTGTGGCTGGTGGTGGTGGTTGGGGTGGTGGGGTGTTGGGGGTGTTGGTGTTGGTGGTCGGTGGTGTGGTGTGGTGTGTGATTTGTTCTTCACTCCCGGTTCTAGTCACTGTTGGTGGTGGTGTTGTAGGGGTGGTGGTGGTGGTGGGGGGTCGATCGTGTGTGTGTGGTGTGTGTGTGTGTGTGGGTGTGTGTGTTGTGTGTGTGTGTGTGGTATGTGTGTTTGTGTGTGTGTGTGTGTGTGTGTGTGGGCTGTGGTGTGTATGTGCCGTGCA